GTAGGGGGATCGATCAATGAAAACTATGCAATCAAGACTGGAAAAAATAGAAATAGAATTTACCATTTACTCCAGCGAAACTTCTGTTGAAACAATCTTCCACAATTAAATTTGCTGCCTGCTGAGGACAACCATGATATAAACGCTTTTCGGTATCATTATCGAGCCGTTTCTTGAAATCTCGACTGTGTGCTAAGTATTGTAAGTACCACCGTTCATTCTGAATTCGTTCGATTTGTATTATTTGTGTATGTTTCCCTCTCATTGCTTTATCGAAGTCAGTAGAAACAGACGTATATTCATCTTTAGTATTAGGTAATACAAAGCGTATTTTATTTTCTGCCGATGACTCCCATGTTATGGGTAGTGTATAATCAATTGATGTTGCAGCATCTATATAGGAATTTAACGGAGTTTTAAAGATGTATTTTTTAGCTCTAAATTTGTCTTAGGAAACAATATTTACCTTGTATGGGTGAGAGTATGTGCATGAGTAGAGAGAAGACTCACTTCCACCAATCAACCCTCACACACACCTACACCGCCCCCAAATAGTCAGTACACTGATTTCAAACTCCTCAGTATATGTTGCATATCTCCTTAACAATAAACTCAGGAGGATAGGTGAGTTAAGAGAAGACCTTCGCCTATACCCACCATTCCAACACCCATCATACATCTATGTTTGCGATTCAAATCAACCACATCGAACAACAATCAGATCACGAAGTTTTTAGTGCGAATAGAATGAAGTCTGGTCCGTCCAAGCATAAAGTGTTTCGGTTAAAATTAGATTATTGTGGTACAAAATCCGATGGGACTCTTGATTTTTATTTCTACTAATTCAATTTCAATCAAACATTCTTTACTGGAAAGAGTTCGGAGTTTTATTACCTGTTAATTTATTAAAAATATTCGTTTTCGTTTATTTGTCTCATTTGAGAAAAATCTAGTGAAATATTTTTGTTTTTCGAAATGAGACTAAAACAGCAATGTCATATCAATATATATGTCAAGCTCTAGTTTATAGCCTTATTTAGTTTGGTGAATGGCATCGGAACGAACCTGAGTTGACTATTAGTTTACCAGCAGTGTTAATATCATGTTATTCTACATAATCAATAAAGAATGATGCAACCACATAGTAGAGTCTATCGGGTTTAAGAATTTCTGAACCTGGTTCCGGATTTGGCCGGATCTGGTTAGTTCCCGACCGATTCTACCAGATAGGCGCACCAAACGTTAAACTTTTGCTTTTTTCCGCGGATATTTAAATATTTTGAATACATTACTATACAACATCAATAATGAGAACTGAAACTTACTGATAAGAAAAAATGTAGCTTTACCTGCCGATGTTATCAATACTTGTTTACAAAACTCATCATAAACATTTTGTTGTTCTAGTTGCACTACAAATTTTACCTTCAGTGGTAAGTTTCTCATTGAAAGCTGATTTTTAATTTCTTTAACCATCGTCTTAACTACAATATCAACGGAGCAACCATGTTTTCCACATCCGATAGCCGGAAATGCAATCGAAGTGTAGTCATGCGAAATAACATTTTGAATGACGGTCCATACGAAGTCGATGATTGATTGTCGAAGTACAGCTTCATCTTTATCGGGTTTCCATTGAAGAAAAAATATGCGTTTGCAAGCTAGTCGGCCGGGTAAAGTTGAGATGAGGGTCGACTTCGGATTACTTTTGTATTCATTATCATACGCCGTTTTGACTTCTTTACCAGCCGTCCTTATAATAGTGTCTTTTAAAATTTGTGACGATGAACTTCCAATGATAGCATCTACCTATTTAAATAAAAAAACTGTTTTACATTAATGAGAATGTTTCTCTTAATACCTTTTGTGTAGTTATATCTCCCATTTCAACTTCAATCGTTCCTTTTCCTATTTTTGCTGACACTGTTTTCATTTCTGAATATTGTTGCTTTAATAAACTAATACGCTTCTGAAATTCATCGTATATATCTGTTCTTTCTGGTTGTATTATAAATGATACTGAAATTGGATGCACTGCTAACAGGCGATGGGCTTTCTCAACCATTGCTTGAGCAACAAAACTGATTGAACAATCAAACTTACCACAACCTATAGCTGGAAAGGCGATACTTTGATAATTTTCACTGACTGCTTTTTCAATTGCATCGGCCATAAATGTTTCTATTGATTTGCGAAGTAGAGATTCATCTGAGTTTGGTTTCCATGGAAGAAAGTAAATTTTTTTCGATGCAAGCTGCCCTCCAGCTGCAACAGTGATGATGGGAGCGTTCGAGTTTTTTTCTACTTCAACCTTGTACAAACATCTTATGGAATCCCCACCGGCTTCAAAAATGGTTTTGCACAAAAATTCTGATGAAGAACACACAACGATAACATCTGTCTACAAACATTAAAAAGAATGTGAATTTGCCTCGCTATTCATCGAGTTTGACGTTACTTCTTGAGTTTTGAGATCACCTTTACAAACATAAATCGATGCATTCGAATTGGTACTAACTATGAAGTGCTGCAACAAAAGCAAACAAAACAGATCATAGTGTCATTTTGTTTTCATCCAGATACATCGACATACAAGACACAAACATGAATAGTGACTCAGAAAAACAAACATCCGATTGTTTTCTTTTTCGTTTTTCTGTTTCAGTGAAATCGAGTAGAATAAAAGTTCTATAGTGACTTTTAAAGTTTTCTTAGAAATTGAAATACCGAGTATTTACAAATTTATTCGATAATTCAAAAAAAAGCTCGCCTTCGTGAAAATCTGTCGCTAAGCAGAAAAAAAACTTAAAGAGTAAATAAAAATCGTTCGTTTAGTGAGTAACTAGTCGTACACTACTGATATTTGATGACCTGGCTAGAAAAAAATTGAGCAAAAAGTAGACTTTAGTCAGTGAACAAAAACTGTCGTTTAGATTAGCAAAGAATGAGTTGAGGTATCTTTTTGTTATGCACTTGTTAATGAAGAAATTTCAGCTTGAGTCAAGGAGGAACAGCGGAGGCTTCAGTCTTAAAAACTCATGATGTCCGTCGAAGCTCCATGAAAGCTGATGAAGACTTTTAGTTATAACTTTTAATAAAGCATCTGGTGTAAAAGCAATGGGACAAATACCGACTCCTATATCTCTGCAACAGAAGAATACTGAAAGAAAACTTTTTTATGAGAAGATAAAATGTTTCCTCTTTCAACTCATTTTTATCGCATGATCATAAACAAAATGGTGCAAAAACAAAGAGAAACACTCTCAATTGAGTGCACACTTTTCGTATAAATTACAGCACAACATATGAATTCTTACATCTTTTGGATAAACAAATTCTGCAAGGAATATTTTTCTATTAATCGATAAGAAATTTTCTCCCCTTTCGAACACTACATGGTTCATATTTCTGATACATTCGTAAATCTAATGAGACGAAAAAAAAAGAGAAAAAGTTGCGGATGCGGGTGTGCAATGTGTATATGAGTGTTTTGATCTTCAGAAGCACATTCACATAGATGCATACACCCACACCCTGCATTTATTTGTAGCTAAAAGCAAATTAAAAGAAAGATTAATAATAAAGCAGATCATAAAGAAAATGAAAGTGAAGAAAGGAATAACATTCAATGAGACATTTCAATTATAACAAAACAAAAAATCTTACGCGATAAAATTCATTAAGCTATATTATATTTATTCCTAAAAGATCTATTTAATATTATATTTAATTTATACTAACCTGCTTTTCCGTTTGTATTTGTTGTTTGTTTTTATTTGATGATGATGGAGAAGAAAATAAGTCTTGTGTTGTTGTCGTGGTTATTGTTGTGACTGTTGAAAGCTCACCGAATAAATCTTTCAATGGCTAAATATTAGAAAAAAAAAGACCTATGAATAAGTACGATGAGCATGTAGATTTTTTCTTTCTTGTTTACTAAACTCAAGACAGAATATGATAACTTAAAACAATATAAAAGAAAAAACGAAGCGTTCCTAAGTTCGAATTCGATTTCGAAAACCTCACATCAGGGGACGTTTTTGGTGGTGAACTGCTGCAATTGAACTCTCTCTCCAAATATCATCATCAAGAAGGAATGTTTAAAAAACTAAAAAAAATTCTTTAAATTATAAGCGTGTGGGTGTGGCTAAGTATATGGGTGTGGATGAGTGTGTCGGTGTGAGAAGTGTGCGTGAGTGCTTTGCTGTTCGGAAGTACATCCACATACATGCGCACACATACACTCCCGTTCACACTCACATCCGATTGTGATGATGTTACTGTTGATTCATTAAGCACTTCAGCTTTTTCAGCATTTTTATATTGTTCAAAAGCCAATTCAAAAAGTTCTTTTAGCGCCAATACAGCTACAGCAGCTGCTCGTTCAGTTCTAATAGCCCAAAATTGATGACGATCATCGGATGTATTGTAAATATATCCAAATGCATGTGTATCACGTGGATCAATAACAACGAATGATATTCGTTCAATTTCATGAATAGCTATTTGTGCCTAAAGTGTTACAAAAAAAGATTTTAAATGAATAAAAGAAAAAAGAAATTTCTGTGTTTTTTTAAATACTTTAGTGGCATCATCAATAACTTTTAAAGCACTCATGGTTATATTCAATTCAATTCTTTGTTTATGTTCACCACGAGCCCGTACAACAGCTTTTAATTTAAACATTGAATCAAGACAAATTTTTTCATCACGATCAATTGATAAATCTTCCATACCAATAAGTTTAGCTTTAAATGGAAGTCCATCACCTTCAAATTTTTTTGCATGGAAACCATTTGATGTAGTTGTAGTTGTTTTTGCTTCTTCTTCTTTTGTTGTTAGTGTTGTACCTACAGTGTTGGACATCTTTGTACCACTTGCAACTGTTTTTAAATGAATAAAAACAAAAAAAAAGAATCCAACATGAATAAAGTTGACGGAATATGATAAGAAACTTCTTTTTCTCCTATGTCGATATCTATTCTTTAGTCGTCTGAAGATATTTGAAACAAAGTACCGATAAAAATATAAACTAAAGGTACTGAGCAGCAGGTATTATAAAAACGAAGTAACAAAAAGATAACTATAGACAAGAATTGTGTAGATAAATATTTACCATGAGAATTTTGTTTTTTTACAAATCAGACACAATTTCTTAGAAGTGTTTCATTTCTTAGAATTGATAACAATATCAAACAAATCATATAAAAAGTGTTCCAAAAATTCAAGCAATTTACAACTTGTTTTTTTTACATGCAATTTGATCTAAAACAAATGCTTATAATCATGACTATCACCTGAAGTATTTGGAAAAAAAACTACTACAAGGGTGTGGATCAGAGATGGAACCGGTACCGGTTACCGGCCGGTGCGGTCCGGTACCGGTACGAGTTTTAGACCGGCCGGTCTGCCGGTAGACCGGTCCATTGCCGGTAGACCGGTCCATTGCCGGTAGACCGGTCCATTACCGGTCTACCAGTCGATTGCCGGTCTACCGGTCGATTGCCGGTCTACCGGTCGATTGCAGGTCTACCGATCGATTGCCGGTCTACCGGTCGATTGCCGGTCTACCGGTCGATGACTGGTCTGTCTTGTTTACTGTTCTGCTTTTATTATATATAGTTATATGAAAACTTCTATTTGTTCGAAAATTATCATGTCGTTAGGATTTTACATGATCGCTTTTATATCGTTATTATTCTTTTCTTTTGTTCCATGGAATTAAAAAAGAAATGTCGGATCAGTCGGTATGTACCGGTACGAGTTTTCGACCCGCCGGTAGACCGGTCGATCGCCGGTAGACCGATCGATCACCGGTAGACCGGTCAACTGCCGGTAGACCGGTTCAACCGGTAGACCGGCCGGTCCGGTCTGAACTTTTCAGACCGGTACCGGTACCGGTTGTGAAAATTTCAGACCGGTTCCATCTCTGGTGTGGATATAAGTGTTGGTTAAGGAAAGAGCCGCAATCTATCCACACTCTCAAGGGATTTGTCAACAGTGGTTCATATGGATTTCGATTTCGATTTCGATAAGTAACAAATGAATGAAATACTAAAAGATACTTGATCTTCAGCCAAAAATGGCTGTCGTGTTCGCTTTATGTAAGACACACAGAGTAAGCAAAGGATATATTTTCTTTAAAGTTTAATTAAAAATTGAAATCAGCATTGATTGAGCTGAGACACTAGAATATGATCAAATTGAAGATGAGAAACCGAATGAAATCCATTGTCAAGTGTTTTATTGAAATCTCCAAAACCCAAAATGAGTAAACTTTGCACTCATTCTTTCTATTGTTGGTTATGTGCTGGTGCGTTCACTTTAGGAAAGTGTACTAAGAGCGAACTCTTGTAGTTTTTAATTTTTCACCAGACACTAATCGACTATTTTAGCAGGTACAAATTGTTTTTTTTTTTTATAGCAAATGATGCAAAACTTTATGCTTTTCCTCATGGTATAAAAATAAAAGTTTTACGATGTAAAACAGCGGAGATATGAGCAGCACAATGCGCATCTTAGCAAAGTGCGCCGGCTTTAGGAACATTGACTCAACATAATCGGTTAGAAATTGTTCAATGTGTGAATGCGCATTTCTAGTATGTATATTTATATACTTTAATGTATGTTCAATATCGTTTCTTTAGTTGTTTTTACATGATAATGAGAAATCAATTCTGTTCATTTGTATGTAATCGATTTACAATCGAATGAAATGCTGCTATCAGCTTTTGAGATAAGTTTTGCTTTTTGTACTGACCGTTGTTTTAATAGAATTTCTTTAATCGATGACGTGAAACGTATCATGGATATGATCTCGAAAGAACAATATACAATAAACGATGCAACTGAAAAGAAGATGAACATCAAATTCTCTTTTTTATTTTTTTCCTCTTCTTCTATAATCAACAAGCCATTTACATGACGATTAATATGAAATTTATACTTATCGCATGATTATTTTTATTAAGTACATTGTTTGATTGTTATAGTCTCATATAAGATCAAATGTATTCCCATAAACAGACAATAATATTTTTCTTGTCATCTGGATATTTTATTTTAATTTATTAACCAATAAACTATAGAGAAGCAATTCATATTGAATATTAGATATGCTCTATGATTGAATGAAAAAATTATAAAATTAATTTTTCTCTTTCATACGAATCATTCACGTTGATCTTTAACGTGATTCTAATATTCATCAATTATATTCTGCATGATCAGGATTGATAAGATGTCTTTTTTGTTTGTTTATGATTGTGATCATGAGTAGAAATTTTAATTAGACAAGACACAAATCATGAGGTTTATCTTGTAACAATAAGTTTCATTCTAAGAAAAATGGTAAAAACTTACAATAAAACATATTCAATAACATTTAATCTTGTTATATCATGATTTCGTGAAAATTTTACAGTATCAATATTAGACAAGTTAACAAGACGTGAGAAACTATCAACATATTTTTGTGAATCATCGTCATCTTTCGTAAATAGTGATAAAACTAAATAAGAGAAAAAAAAACAAACATTATATTTTATTGATTAATTAACTATGAAGTAAACGTACTTCGTTATAGCTGTATTATGGCGTTCTCTAAGAATGCTACGAACAGCGATCGCGGATATGCTAAGTGGCATACAATATAAATAATATTTTGGAATGGAAGAATAGTAGGTAATGAGATAGATAGTATTATTGTTTCTGTTGGTAGAAAACAATCCATTTGGTGATAATAAAAATTATGTTGGCGATCATTAATATTGAATATATTTGTTGATTGCATATAAAATGTATCGCCCATTGTAATTGATGATATATCATTTTCACGTCGTGCTTTTACATGATTATAATTGAGTGCCTATTACATATAGATCTGTTCCACTAAATTAATTATAATTAAAATAGGGATGATATAAATAATACCGATTATAATTTTTTTTCTTCCATTTTAACGATCGATTATTGCTTTTAGAGATACATTATACAATGTAAATAAATAAAAATAAGATCTTTCGTTGACATTAACATCACAGATAAATTATTACACTTTTCAACTCAAGAAAAATTGCTTATATTTTCAATAAAGTTCTGCATTAATTTTGTTTTTGATGTAGCACTGTAATGGAATGTCGTAGAAATTTCATATACATTATTTTTTTTATTTGAAAAAGTAGTGTCTAGTACAAAAATGTATGAAAGACTTTGATTGAACATGTCTTTTAAGAAGCCACCAAAACTTTCGAACTAAAAGCATCGGACAATGATTTCTTAACTTTGTGTGAACTTAGAAAAAGTTTTATTTCATCTAAGTAATCATATTTTACTTGTCTAATCTAAGTTTTACAATATACGGGTAGTGAAGTCTTGTAGCACAAAAAAAAAGAAACTCTTTGCATCGTTTATTATGGTTGAAATGAACGCTTTAATAATATCGTCTGGTATCTGCATTTTTCATCACAGCCGAAAAAATAAATTATATTCCAACAAATACGTTGTTAGAAACTATATATTTTATATGAAAAACAAAGCTTAATAAGTTCTCTATCGCACAAAATTATTTGAAATGGGATACAAATTTTCTGTGAGATATATTCAGTCAAACATATGTTTTCGTATTGTAAAACACAAAATCGCTAAATTTAATTTTTTTTTAATGAAATACTCATCTACTTATTCTCTTGTATGCTAGATGAATTATTTTAATAGTTCTCAATAGTCTTTTTTTTTTATAAATATACAATGCTCGAAAACACTGCACGATGATAAAGAAAAAAGGTAAAACCAATATTTTCTCATAAAAAATTCTCAGCAAAGTTCATTTTCAATGAAATTCTTCGTACATTTTTGCACTAGATACTTTATTCTTTGTAAAAAAAAAAGAAAGATGAAATCTCTATGACATTTCATTACAATGCTATATCAAAAATAAAATTACTGTGGAACTTTTGCTTCATATGTTATAAACAAAGAATTTTACAAGCATTAAAAAAACTGAAGTATTCATAGAAATTGTTTTTTCTTCTTGTTTTTAATAACGAAAAAAAAAATTTGTTGGTGTATTTATCTAATTTAAATGAACTTTAAGTATTTAATAGAATATAATATTTTATTAAAAACTCTTGGAAGATTTAAATAGTCGTTTTAATGTTATAGCATCTTTTTTGTCTTTAGTTATAATATAGTTAGCAAAAAATATTTTTAAAACAGTTTGTAACTTTTCATAGATAATGAATAAACATGTTCTCGTTACTATAATTACAGCAGTCATCGGTAAAGTGTCTTTATATTTCTTTTCATTAATTAAATTAACTGATTAGCTTAAGCAAGAAGAGAAATGATATTGTTAAATTTTCTATGAAATAGCTAAATAACAAGTGTTGTACTAAAAGATCATTGAAATCAAAAGAAGATACCTAAAGAAGTTTTGTAAGAACGGACTTTTAATAATATGACCTTAATTCTCAAATAGGGTTGCTTAATAATTTACTTTCTTTATCAATTCATATGAAATCTTGAAAATAACACAATAAGTTCGAAATTTGACAATAGTTGATAATTATAACTCATCTAAACTATTCATGTTCTCAAATTGTTCATTTAATTAAAAATATTTCTTTTTCCTATATAAATTACTACTTAATCAGACCAACAATGAAGCAAAGGACGTTTTTAAGCATACAAACGTCATGATTTTCG